CTATGTTTTCAAAAACGTTCTTTTTCTTTTTATGCACTGATTCAATTTCTGTTTAAAGAGTCTACTTTCTATTCTCGCAATTCATGGAAATCCCGTATATAAAAATGTAATATCCCACCTGATTTAATGATATCGAAATGTTTGAAGTTCCCTGCAAATATATCAGCCACTTACAAAAGAAAAAAGTAAAGAAAATTAAAAAAACAAGGTTTAAAAGAAATGAATTTTTATCAACAGATTGAATGTCTAAAACTTGGGGCAAAACTAGCAGAAATAGAGACATTGGAAGAAAACATCTTTCTAAAGAACATGGCAAGGGAAAATGCTTATGGTAAGATCATTTTTGGTAAAGTACATGTATGAGGATTTCATGAAACAAAATATACACATGTAGATTTACCTTCTTGGTCATTATATGTAAATACAGTTGCTAAATTGTTTTATTCTACATTTTTGATTAAGGTTTTTGTCCGAATTTCCAACAAATTGCTAAAAGTGTTTTTTTTTCTTGCTTCAAATTGAGTGTAATTAGCCAAGTCTGCCATGAAATCATTTAAAAAGATTCTTAGACAAATTAAACACATTTAAAAAGAAACATAATTTTGATTTGTTAAAGGCGACACATTAATCGGAGGGACAGATGCCTACTCACAGCACAGATGGAGATGGTCAACAACATTTAAAGCAGTGACGTACACTGACTGGGCACCGAACAAGCCTGATTTCTCGGAAGGCGATGAATGTATGTCTTTAACTGCTAGGTTTGACATGTCGTGGGATGATTGGCAATGTGATCGATATCAAGAATCCTTCATGTGTGAGCGGTTAATTTATGAACGAAAAAAAGAAGAAAATTAACAAGAACTTGTTTGTATGAACCTAGCTAGGAAGATTATATTGTCTAAATTTTTTATTTTAATATACATTGTCGGATCAGATCTTCAATGTAATCAAAAGCTGAAAAATTTAATCTGTCACACACTAACTTTAGTTTACTCATATGGAAATTCCTGATTAGAGGTGGTTTCAGATGTGTAGAGGCAGAAAACTCTCTCTCTCTCTATTGTTAGCCTGCCTCGGTTTAAGGACTGGGCATGAAAATAGAGCATGATATTGCTTATAGAATAAGTGACAATAAGAGACAAAAATCAAATACAAGAGATAGAGAAATACTTCTACAGAATTAGCAAAGGTAGACGATGGAAATGCTGAAGTCAACTGTTTGAAAATAAAAAGAATCCAAAATGAAACAATGTGGAAGACTCCGTGGCGGGTTTATTTGAAAATACCTGATATAGAGGGTTGTCCCAAAAGTCGTAGACATGGAAAACAGTTTATTTTTTTTTTTTGTTGAATTAAATTTCTTTCTTTCTGATAACAAAAATGTAACATGTTATTATCATGTATTTCAAATTTTATGATGATCTCACATTTAATAAGAAAATTATAAAAAAAAAAAAAAAAGCATAAAAAAGTGTTATCGGTGCACGAAAGCAAGTGTATTTTACTTCTCTTATAACAACATGATCTTTTTTTCTGCTTCACACGGTTTTAACATTCAATAATTTTTTTTTTTAAAGTGAAAGACCACTCTAGGCAAAGGGGAACTTTTTTTTAAATTCATTACTGCCCGGGTTTTTTTGTTGTTGTTTTTTTTTTTAAAAGCAGATTCAAATTTTAGTCAAAATTTAGTGAAAGATTCCCAAACATTGTAGGTAGCAGAGAATACACATTGTTTGACATCTTTGTCCCCCCAAATTGTTCCCCCACTGTCTGCGTGCCATAACAAACTGTACTTTTTTTATATGTTGTAACTTTTTTTGGTATAGGGGAAAAACTCTCATTGAATCTCGTGCCATTTAAAAATAACTTCTCGTTTAAAAATTAATGTGTAATGTATTTTTTTCCCCCGTCTCTGATGTATACAAACCTATTCAAAACAATTTATTACATATCAGTGCACCGGTTAAGCGTTTGACGACGTCATTTTTATAAAACTCAATTCCAACAACACTTTGAAAATCATGACACCAAAATTTAGATTTTGATTTCACTGATTCAAATTTGAGTTAAAATGTTTTACATAGTACTTCAGAAATAAAAGCAAATGTAATAGTTATATGCGTAAAATATTCCGAATTTTGTTCGTGCGCCGACATACCTTTTCGACCATCATTTAAATCGTCCTAACATCATCAATATGAAAGATATATATTTAAAAATGTACAATTTTAAAGAACATTGAATATATTATGTCTATGAAAAATTTTGGGTTTAAATTTTTTTGGTTGTATGTTTGTCATCTCCCTCGGGAAATGACACATTAAGATTATATGCCGGAAGTGAAGTCCTAGACAGTGTAAGCCTCCATTAATCTTTCGGGAGTCCTCGATGTTTTACAGATTTCCAAGTAGCCTGTAAACTGGTTTTATTTTAAAAATTTTTAGGAGTTTGTGATCTATTTTCGGTTTAGGCCTATTTGAAAGCCAAGGAAAATTTAGAAAAGAAGTACGATGTTATTTAATAGTTTCGGGGGTTGTATATATATTGACCCTCAAAAACTATGCCTTATTAAATGGGTAAGCCACACAAGGAGAATTGACAATGACGTGATTTCTATATATAGATTTGTAGACGATTCTGAAAAAAAATTAAATGGTCAACGCTAATTTTATGTTATTTTTTTAGTCTGTAATTGGATTTATTAAATCAATTCCTGTCAAACTTTAATGATTAGCTGTTTTTAAATGAATGATAATTATTGTTGATAATTCCGTATTGCGTTAACAAAATATAGTTCAGGAAAGTATTTGAATTTAAGTAAATTTTTAAATTGTAAATACCCAGAACCACAAAGACCCCTAGAATGAAATTTCACCAAAAATCGCCTTGGGTGCTTTCGCAGACGTCCATGCTTTCCATATATTTCGGGGCCCCAAAAAGAAACTACTTTACTGTGGTGTTTGCTAATAAGCCTTTTGGGGGAATCCGGGTTTAATAATCCATATATTCATTGCATTAAAATATCTTCCTAAGCCCTTTCTGTTTTATTTCTTTGACATTACTGATACCAAAGAGATAACTTTTGGCTTTCTGGAAAGCCAAACTTGTTTTAAATTATAATCATTTTACATTTTGGGGACAATCTTCGTATATCTAGTCGTTAAAAACATAACAAAAAACATAAAAACATAAACATATAATGTGTAAAACAACTGAATTGGTCATTTCTAATTTCTAATTTTCGACCTATGGCTCGGTTCGGGTAATACCCAGGAGGTTTTGCCACGAGAAGATATGTTTTGCTTGTCCTGTAGAAACGTGGGGGGCCAATTCACATACAGCATTCATAATTTAAGTTGTAAAATATATGTTGGGTAAATTTTAACATACATCAGATAACCTAGTAATTACACATGGATTGGACACATTTCCCACCATCCATCGTACAAACGGTAATGGCCCGGAAAAATGTCGTAGCATTGACTCGGTGCTTTGATATTACTTAATAAATACTGAAATATCTTTATGTTTTATTCAAATATTAACCTTTTAGTTGAATGTGATTGAATATGTCTACCACACAGTGGAATGATTTTAGTTGCATCATATCGTATAAAAGAAAGTCTTTACAGTGCTAGTTATATTGCCATCTCCTTCTTTGTCTAAAAAGGGTTAAAATATTCTGACTTGTATAAACAAATCGAGTCGATATTTAGACGTCATATATCGATTATTTGTATTTTATTGAAAAATAAGAGTTTTCATTGTTTTTGGCTAAAAAAGCTGTCACAGGGATTTGTTAAAAATGGATGCGTTTAGCCATGTCGGAAAATGCCCAAAATTTTTGATTGGGGACCAGGCAAAATTTATCACAGTGATGGGACCGGTACAAATAGGCATTGGACAATGAGTTTTTTCCCCAAAAAAAACCATGGGGCTAAAACATTTTCACCATTAAATACCAATGGGACACAAACTTTTTTCCCAATAATTTACAGTATTTTTTAAAGAAATTCATTCAATTGAAAAATATTAATTACTTTAAGACATATCTTTAAAACACAAGCAAAGGCAAAGAACCCCAATATTCAGTTAATGGAAAATTAAAAAAGTGAAAAGCTTCCTAACAAGGAATATGAAAATGAACACTAAGAAAACTTTCAATTTTAAAATATCTGTATTCTGAAAAAAAATCATAAGTTTTTGATGCAATAATCTCATTAAATCAAATTATCGGGGGTAACTTTTTTATAAGTCTAAAGGCATGGGACAGATATCTATTTTAACACGAGTGTCATGGGAAACAATTTTTTGAAAAGAGAATTTTGTTTTGTCTGGTCCCATATTGTGATAAATTTTTCCTGGAACCTTAATTTGTGTCCATGGTATATGTACGGTGAAATGAAGTAACAGACAAATTTAAAAAATATACAAAAATTTAATTTAAATTTGTTAAAAATTTTGTAAAATTACACATCATTGATAAATTTCACCTACCTTTTTAGACTTTGGTTGAAAGTCCAATAAAAGAACGACAACTTTAAAACTTTCAAGGTCACCCCCGTATACTTTTATCATGATAACATGAAAACATCGATGTAGCTATCAACTGTCGCCGGGAATAAAAGTAAACAATGGAAATAAGTCTTGATCATCAAACCACTTCGATTTGCTGAGTTGCCCGCGTGGCACAGTAGATAACGTCTGTTAGAGTCGCGAAGTAATGAGCGATCCCTTTAAAGTCATGGTTCGAATCTCACTGTTACGTGGAGACTGGTCCTTGGGATAAGCTATAAACCGAGGCCCCGTGTCGTAGTAGGTGCTATCAGGGAAAAAGATCCCTTACTGCTCAATGGCCCTAAGTGCCGAGCATAGGAAAATATTGTAGCTCTTCAACGGCAAATGGTGGGTCTCCATATAGTGAAAATTCTCTAGAGGGACGTTAAACAACATACAATAATCAATAAAACATATGGAGATAACAACAGTTTTTAAGATAAAAAGCCCATAAATATGCAAAATATTAGCAGAGCAAACACAAACCTCCAAAAACGGAGGGGGGGGTCGGGTATGGATAAGTAGCACCCCCTCCCCTTTCGGTCACACCCACCGTGTGCTCCTTGTCATGATATTTTATAAATTCTCAGCTTTAAGACAGAAACAGGAAAAACAAGAAACACTCAGCTTTAAAGAAAGTCAATTGCTTTAATTTTTTCCAAAGCAATGTATTTCCAAAGGGCAAGTTTAACTCACCCTATACTGTATAGGGAAATTTTTGCCATCGAATTATTTTCCTCCTTTAACATTTCTCACGGCTGGGTGACTTTAAAATGTTTAAAATGGGGCAAAATAAAAAGAAATTATTAATCCTGTTTACAGAAATGGAACTAGACGAATTTAAAATTGTCTACAAGTGTGAATTGGCGAAAATAAGATAAGGCAAAAATAAACCTATTAAGTATTTTTTCCCTTTTTAACTTTTCCCCCAGGATCATATTTTATCTAGCTTTAGTCCCTTTTTAATGTTTACCAGGTTGGCCACACTTCCCTTATTAACCATTTGTTGATGCAAATCAATCATCTTTCATGTGTAGCTTTTAATTGTTTGAACAAAAAAAAATTAATAAGATCTTATAAAGTATGAACCTACATTAGCTAGAAAGACCTATACATGTATCTTCTAAAAAAATATGTTTATTATTATAACATTTGTGGATCAGATCTTCAATGTGACCCAAAGCCGAATAAAATTAGTGCACACACTATCTTTAGTTTAGGCATTGGAAAGAGCAGAGGTGGTATCAGGGGCTTGTTTCTAAAAAACAACCCCAAAAGTCCAGATAAACTAAGAATTTAAAAATTTGGGACTAGGTTGCGTTTCAA